GTTGGCACTCGAAGTCCTCCCCAAGCTCAACCCAGCGCTCAGCCCTGGCTCATTTCTCTCCATTCACCAGAACTCAGAGATAAATAAATAAAGCTACATAAAATAATTCTTTAAAAAAATATAAAAATATAAAAAAATAAAAAACCTCGTGCTCGAACGCGGCAGCACCTCTTCCAGAACACAGCATGCAGTGAGGGTCGCCGTTGACCAAGGAGAGGGACGCAACCTACAGGGACCCGTGCAGACCCCAGGTTAGCCAGGACCTGCTCGTCCATTCTCTCCTCCCTCCTCCACGCCTGCACTCGTCTCTCTGGCACTTCTACTAGGCCCGGCACCGTGGGTGACGTGATGGGAGGGCCTGAACGAGCAGGGTACAGCGAGGCCCAGGACTTCGCACTCCTCGGGATGTGCACAGCTGCTGACAGGCGACGGCTCCGGCCAGCACCTCTGGGCTCCGATGGCTGCCTGCTAGTACGCTGCACGACGGTGCCAGACGGCTTTACAGCTGGGGACAGAAACCGTCCCTGCTCGAAATGAGATGGCACCTGGACACCCTGGGGTGCACACAGACACTCCACAGGACCAACGTGTCACGGTGAGCTTGGCGTGCAGTTTATTAGTGACACGAGGTGTGGGGGTTAGGCCTGGAGTACTGAATAGGGTTCTACTCTGACCTCTCAGCACGAGCGAAGCTGGGTGGTGGGCAGCGGGGTTGGGGCAAGGCGGCCCAGCTGTGAGCCACAGCTCAGAGCAACCACACTGGCCCAGACACGTCCCGTCCAGGGCACCATGCCGAGATGAGGAGGCATCCGGCCTGGGGATTCGGTTCATAATACTCTGGTCCTTGGGCCTGGGCTGGGAGCATCTGGGAGCAAGTGAAGGAAAAGGGAAGAGAGTAACAGCAGCCAGGCCCTGGAGGCCAGATGTGCTCCGGAAGAGGCTCCCCGAGCTCGTCTCCTCAGGGCCAGCAGGTTCCACAGGTTGGTCACGGCGGCACTCGTGCTGGCTGGCACCGAGAGCCCAGGCACTGCATTCCCGAGACTCCGAGCCGACAGCCACCTCTGCTCCTAGCGCTCGAGTCAGCCCTGGGGAACCAGCTGTCCACTCACGCCCTGGGTACAGTCCTCTCCCCTCCAGACCTGAGCTCCGGCCTGGGGTTAGCAGCTCAGCCTGGTCACCAGCGACCTGTGAGCTGCACCATCTGGGGTGGCGTTCTGGCAGGGCCCTGCAGCCTGGGGTGCCGCCTGCAGGGCTCCAGGGCCTTGAGTCCTCAGGATCCGCCCTGAACAGCTAATTGGCTACGTGGGGCCACGTGGAAGCCTTTCACAGACAGGGCAGGGGAGGGACACTGGACTCTCACTGACCTTCCACAGCCAGGATTCCCGGGGCTTCTGCTTTACAGCACTCGGCTCCCGCATCCTTACAGCCCACCTCTACCTCAGAGAGGGCCATCGTCCCCTCCGCGCCTGCTGCTGTCCCCGGGAAAGCCACTGTGGCCACTACCATCACTTCTGTCGTGTTCCTCTTACTTGGAGATCGAAGCCCGACAGTCAGTTCTCCAGCCCGGCCTCGCTCAGGAGCCCCTCACTGGAAAACAGGAAGGGAACCTGCAGAGTGACTCTGTCCTTTCCCATTTACTGTCCAGGGTCACCGGGCATGCGAGGGGATCTAGCGTTGGCCAGGTGAGGGCCTCCTGGGTTTTGACTTTGTCGCAGAAAGGATGTAAGCGTAATCCAGGGGGAAAGCAAGGCAAGCTTTTGGGTTACGGGAGCCTCACTCCGCAGGCAGGGCCATGCTCTGTGGAGACCGCGCTAGGTGTCTCTGGGGCCTTTCTGGGTGGGAGGTCCATATGTACAGTAATAAAGGGGTTGGAGCTGTAGGGTTCGGGGCGGTCTAGAGGACCCCAGACGGGTGTTCAATTGAGTGTGTGTGCCACTCCAGGCAAGTTGGTAATAATGTTTAGAGAATGATGCATCTTTCCTTGTAAGTGCAGGAGGTACTGCACAATAAATTTCAACACCCAGAAAAAGAATTACATTGTTTTCGATCGTACTTCTCTACTGAGGCCATAAAATGGCAGTTCAAAGAGCCCCTGACAACTTTTCTAAGGTTGGTGATGCCCAGCTATTTTCATAATAATACTAAGACATTTTCTTTCATTCTTACTCTCAGCACAGTAGCAGGTTTCATGGTACACGACACAGCAGTTGAAAGTAGGTGCAGCACTCAGGCCCGGTGTCCTGCACACATAAAATAACACCATTCTCCTTTGACTTGGGGAAGCATGTTTACTTTAAATTATTTTACAAAAATATGTTCATGCTAATGTGTAATGATTTTAATATAATTTTAAATGCATTCTAAAATTTCTTAGACTTTATTTATTTATTTCAAATACTGTAATCACCAAAAAGACAATTATTTGGGGGTCCTTCATAATTTTTAAGAACTCAGGGATTCTGAGACCCAAATGCTTGCAAACCGCTGCTGTGAGAATGAACACAGGGAAGGTGGACACCGAGCACAAGGTCCCTGAGGCGGGGAGCCGAAGTGGGTGCAAAGGTTCAAATGTTGCTGCAACATTTTTTTCTTTAAAACAGAAGCAAGGGAGCTGGTTGGTGTAGTGTAACACTCTGTGGGGCTGCCCTGCCTGGGAAGGGTCTAGGGCTGTGTCTGGAGACCTCCTGAGTATGCCAGGCATGTATGTGTACATGTTCTGGGCCAGCTAAGGCTGGGCGTGGACAGCTGCAATGTCAGCACCCTTTGGGGTTCTGGCTTCTGTTTCTCTCTTATGAAAGAAGTAGAGGGAGAGACTTTAAAAGAATAGTTTTTATATTTTCCCTCCCTGCTATTATATCTTTGTCATAGAGTGGTAGATATTCTGTATATATTGAGCAGGGATATACAATGTTTGTCTTTCTTAGTCTGGCTTGCTTCACTTAGCATTAAACCTTCTATATTCATCTCCCTTGTATCAAATGACTGGATCTCATTGTTTTTTATGGCTGAGTCATATTTCATAGTGTGTATGTGCCACATTTTTTCCCCCAATTTGGTCATTTGTTCATCTTTTCTCTATTGAAAAAAAAAATTTTAAATAAAAACTACAGTGGACCAGCAGGTGGCATAGAGATTAGGGTGACTAGATCCCACATAACCAACTCTGCAGATTGAGTCCCAGAACCAGCAGTTTGAAAATCACATTTAGGCATGTGTGCATGCCTGAAATCCAGAGAATGGAGGACAGTAATAAAGGGGTTGGAGCTGTAGGGTTCGGGGCGGTCTAGAGGACCCCAGACGGGTGTTCAATTGAGTGTGTGTGCCACTCCAGGCAAGTTGGTAATAATGTTTAGAGAATGATGCATCTTTCCTTGTAAGTGCAGGAGGTACTGCACAATAAATTTCAACACCCAGAAAAAGAATTACATTGTTTTCGATCGTACTTCTCTACTGAGGCCATAAAATGGCAGTTCAAAGAGCCCCTGACAACTTTTCTAAGGTTGGTGATGCCCAGCTATTTTCATAATAATACTAAGACATTTTCTTTCATTCTTACTCTCAGCACAGTAGCAGGTTTCATGGTACACGACACAGCAGTTGAAAGTAGGTGCAGCACTCAGGCCCGGTGTCCTGCACACATAAAATAACACCATTCTCCTTTGACTTGGGGAAGCATGTTTACTTTAAATTATTTTACAAAAATATGTTCATGCTAATGTGTAATGATTTTAATATAATTTTAAATGCATTCTAAAATTTCTTAGACTTTATTTATTTATTTCAAATACTGTAATCACCAAAAAGACAATTATTTGGGGGTCCTTCATAATTTTTAAGAACTCAGGGATTCTGAGACCCAAATGCTTGCAAACCGCTGCTGTGAGAATGAACACAGGGAAGGTGGACACCGAGCACAAGGTCCCTGAGGCGGGGAGCCGAAGTGGGTGCAAAGGTTCAAATGTTGCTGCAACATTTTTTTCTTTAAAACAGAAGCAAGGGAGCTGGTTGGTGTAGTGTAACACTCTGTGGGGCTGCCCTGCCTGGGAAGGGTCTAGGGCTGTGTCTGGAGACCTCCTGAGTATGCCAGGCATGTATGTGTACATGTTCTGGGCCAGCTAAGGCTGGGCGTGGACAGCTGCAATGTCAGCACCCTTTGGGGTTCTGGCTTCTGTTTCTCTCTTATGAAAGAAGTAGAGGGAGAGACTTTAAAAGAATAGTTTTTATATTTTCCCTCCCTGCTATTATATCTTTGTCATAGAGTGGTAGATATTCTGTATATATTGAGCAGGGATATACAATGTTTGTCTTTCTTAGTCTGGCTTGCTTCACTTAGCATTAAACCTTCTATATTCATCTCCCTTGTATCAAATGACTGGATCTCATTGTTTTTTATGGCTGAGTCATATTTCATAGTGTGTATGTGCCACATTTTTTCCCCCAATTTGGTCATTTGTTCATCTTTTCTCTATTGAAAAAAAAAATTTTAAATAAAAACTACAGTGGACCAGCAGGTGGCATAGAGATTAGGGTGACTAGATCCCACATAACCAACTCTGCAGATTGAGTCCCAGAACCAGCAGTTTGAAAATCACATTTAGGCATGTGTGCATGCCTGAAATCCAGAGAATGGAGGAGAAGGGATTGAGTCGTGGCCATCCCCCCTGCTCCATGCCCTATAGCAACAACTAAAAATCAAAAAATAAAAATTTTTTTAATAACACAAGAGCTAGAAAAAAAGAAAATAGCATTTAATAGAGCTGGATGGTGATTATATTTTCTATCTTTTATAGTAATCAAAATAATCCGTAATAAAAATAAATAAGATCATAAGGATATTGCTAAGACTTACAGAAGTAATAACAAAAAATAGAATAATCAAAACAGTCAGAAAGTTCCAGTGGAGTGCAAACTAAAGCTGGGAGCGCGAGGGTGGAGGGCAACAGCCCCTTGGGGAGCTCTTACCCTTCTTTGTCATTAGGTACACCCACTGCACCTACATAAAAATAGACTCTCCAGAAATAAATAAAAAGGAAAAATTACACGAGCTCTGCTTAGACCTGTGCACAGCACACAACTGAGACTCAAATGTGGCAGGAGGTAAAACAGAAACAAGTGTACGAGGATGTCAGGGCTGCGGGTGGTCTTCCTTTCCTTCCCTTCCCACACCTCCCATCTCACGGCTGCATTGCTTAAGAATAGGACATTACAGTTAAATGAGCAACCTATCACAAAGACATATTTTCTTTCCCTCCTGGGGGAGACACTGATCGTGGTCGACATTCTGATTCTTTTTGTTCCTCTGGGTCTTTACGCTGGTGGCTGCCAGCCTGTGACACCGGGAAGACGCTGGCCATAGACCGAGTCTCTTTATCTCTAGTCATAGGATCCTCTTTGCAGATACGAAGGTCTTGCCTGAATAACACTGGTACGTGTCGTCAGAAAATGCTAAGCATGCCCCTGCTTCTCGTTCTCTTCCGACCATTCGAGGTCAAATCTTCATCTTGCTACCAGACACTTGTAAGAGCCCCGGAGGCTGATGGGTTTCTGCTGTTTGCTCCCTGTGGGCCGTTTCCTTCCATTGGGTGATGGCTGTTTGCTGGGAAGCTGACCCTGACAGGGATGGCCTCTGTCTGGCTGGCTGACTAAGCCATCACAGCAGACAGGCACATGTGTGAGGAGGCTGGCTGAGAGGCTCGGAGGGCGCTGCCCAGGCCCCGTCCCCTGTGCCATGAGCAGGACAAGAGCCAGGGAAGGCCCAGGTCCAGCCGGGGATGCTCAGAGACCCGAGGCACAGCTTGGTGGCACACAGCTGCAGGGAGCCTTCCAGGCGACAGCCAACACGACTTCACCTGGGTCTTTTTACAGATGGACCCCAGGACCAAGAGGGTTCCCAGAATCCTCCGTGCATGCTGGAGGCTTGACCTCCCTAGATGCTGAACACGTCGCAGCTCCCTCCCGCCCTGTGCACAGGAGCCGTCTGAGACTGGGGTGCCTGTTCTACCATGGCATCGGCTGAGAGCCAGGACAGCACTTGGAGGCCCCAGGCCCTGACATGGTGGGCAGCACCTGCCCGGGCTGAGCTGACACAGAAGTGCCTCAGGGTGGACGCCCCAGTGCTGTGGGTGCTGTGTCCCTGCTGCTCTCCTGCAGCTCCCTGCTCCACCCTGCTGTCACCCTGCAGTCACTGGTAAGGACGAGTCACAGCTCCATGACAATGTTGCTTCATGGGGCCCCTTCTCTCTGTACCCACCACCCCCGGGGCAATGCCACCTGCTCTCTCTCACCTAGCAGCTGCTTCCGAGCAGCGAGCCCCGCCTGACACCCTCTGGCGGCCCTGGGTGCCGAGCTTCTTCCCGAGGCTCCACAGCACCCGCTTCACGGCCCGCCCAGTGTCTGTTAGCTTGCACTTCCTCCCGTCTTCCCAGCCCAGCTTCCCCAAATACCCAGCCATTCCGGGTGTGAAAGGGCACAAGAACGGGGCCTTCAAAATTCTCAAGGATCAGTATTTCTAATTCTAGCCCGATTATCAACCAGGTGTAAAATCAGATTAAGGCGTGTTCAGATAAGCAAGGTCTCAATTCACTTCATGCACCTGCCTGCACCCCCAGATACATGTTCCCGCACACACGGGAGAGTCCTAAAGGAGGGGAGCCAGACGCGGGAGTCAGATGGCAGAGGGGGCAAGAACCCCGTCAGACGCTAGGGTGGCCACCATGGAAACTCGGGAAGGCTTCTCTCTATGAAGACAAATCGGTCTCGAGTCTTGAGCAAAGTTTAAAAGAAAATGGTAGAGTCGAGTTTCTGAGAGGCTTATAGGAAACTCTGCAAATAAGAAAGCACAGTAATTAACTTCAGGAAGACAGAAGGCTGTGCAGGAAGAGCGAAAAAAAGTCGAGAGTGACGGGGTTACGAAACACTAGATGAATTAGAAGACGGGGCCCCGGCCAAGGTGCTTGGCGTGGTGTAAAACAGAGACGGCTAGTTCGAATTCCATAGCACCGGGTGGACAGGGCTCGCTGGAGCGGGTCAGCCGGGAAGTCTGATCGTAAACTGCCCGAGACGCGTAGAAGCACGCGGAGGGACTAGGCCAGGCTGCCTGAGGCTGGGCTGGGCAGGAGGGGCATAACGGGGCTGCTCTGTCTAAACTACTTGGCCTGTGTGTTCATACATGAAACAGAGTTTGGAAAGTGGGAAAATGCTTCCAGGCTGTGTCTATTCAGGGTTGGTAAAGACGAGGTCTGTTTTTTCCATGATGGGTCTGGAGGTTAAGAAATGCAGGTTGGGGACCAGCAGGTGGCATGGTGGTTAAGGTGCTGGATTCCCACATGACTGACCCGTTTCCGTCCTGGGCCTGGTGGCTTGAAAAACACACTGGGCACGTGTGCATGCATACCAAAAATCCTGAAAGAAGAATGAAGGAAAAGGGATTGAAGTGTGTCCCTTCCCCTCAGGGGGTGATTTCTAACTTTCTCTCTCTCTCTGGTGAGCACACACTAAAATGAAAACAAACAGACAAAATGATAAAACGGTAAATTTAATGTTATGTAAATTTAACCACGACAAAAAAATAATGACTCAACTGTCAATATACAGGAAGGGAACAATTGATAAGATACATGTTCATTGAAAAAAAGCTGAATTTGGAGCCAGAAGGTGGAGTGGAGGTTAAGGCAGCTGGATTCCACATGGCTGACTGTGCAGGTGAAGTTCTGGACACAGTGACTTGAGAAACACACCAGGCTTGTGAAGGATCATGCCCAAAGTCCTGAGAAGAGGAGGAGGGATTGCAAGTGGACATCCGCCCTGGGACGGGGGGGTGGGGGTGGGGGT